TTGTATGTGTCTGGGTGTTTTGCCTGCATGTATGTCTGCACCATGCCTGGCCTTTGGAGGCCAGAAGAGGGAGGCATCAGATCCCCTGAAACTGGAGTTATGGGCGGTGATAAGCTGTCATGTGGGTTCTGGGGATGGAACCCAAGTCCTTTGGAAGAGCAGCCCATGCTGTTAACCACTAACCCCTCCTCTCTCCAGCCCCAACGCTCACATTCTTAATTGGATTATGAATATCTTACCCTTTCAGGGCCTCAGTTTTCACTCTGTAAAATGCACAATTGGACAGCTTCCAATGCTCAAAGTCTACCCTGAGTAGGCTCCAGTGTCACCTCTACCCTATGCTCTGGTGAGCTGCTCTGCTTGGCACTGTGAGCCACTGTAACCGGTCACCAGAAAGGCACCATGTCCCCTTGCAGATTCTTTCCCAGGACAGATGTTAGAAAAAGGGTCCTGAACAATTCCAACTCTGTCCACCACCTGCACTGAGAGTGCAGTGTGAAAGGCAGCACCCCAGTAGCTTCTCCAATGACGGGGGGGGGGGGGGGGGGGAAGCGGTGGATGATGGCGACACACACCTTTAACCACCCCCACCCCCACCCCCGCACCTGGGAGGCAAAGGCGGATGGATCTGTGTGTTCGAGGCCAGCCTGGTCTACAGAGTGAATTCCAGGACAGCCAGGGCTGCACAGAGAAACCCTGTCTTGAAAAACAAAACAGAACAAAACAAAGCAAAAGAATCTCTTTCTCAAGGGCCACCCTGATTTTGAAGTGTGAGGGTTAAACAATTTGGGGAAAAGGCAGGCGCCTCAGGCTTCCCACAGTAACGACCCGCCCCCTCCCTGTCGGCATTCCTTCACACTCGGTGGAATTCCTACACAAAGCCCCCTTTTTCTTTTCTATGAGGTCACCGTCACACAGAAGTCTAAGAGAGAAAGAACAGCTCCATGTGGGTCAAAGCCTTTGGAACTGAATGCATTTCAGACCCAGTGGCCCCCCACCTGCAATCTCACAGCCCCTCAGGGCCCAGCTCCAGGGGTGGGGACCAAGGGGTTTAGGGGGTGTTGTGATTTGGCCCAGCACAGTCCAAGATGCCTGCCTAGGCGACTAGTTTCTCAGGAGCCAGACCACGTGAGAAGTCGCTTACATGTGTGTGGGGGGCGGGGGTGAGGGGTGGGGGGTGTCAAGAATTGGAGACAAGTGTCCCCTGTATATGTGGGTCTGTATTCACATAGCAAGTCCTGCTGGAGTGACAGATGTCAAAATGCCAGATCACACTCTCAAGTTCAAGTTCCCAAGATAAACGTCACAGGAAATCACACCACTAACGGATGTGCCCCAATATTACTTCTTTCTGGACCTAGGGTCTAAGAAGGATACAGGTTTGGTCTGAAAATGGATTGTGTATATGTCACCAAATTCAGACAGGAACGGGGGAGGTTGCTGGTGCGGGGGCGGTTTCTACTAACATTTTCAAAAAAAGATAAAAGAAAAGAGCCAGGTGATGGTGGCACATGCCTTTAATCCCAGCAGTTGAGAGTCAGAGGCAGGTGGATCTCTGAGTTCAAGGCCAGCCTGGTCTACAGAGGGAGTTCCAGGACAGGCAGGGCTACACAGAGAAACCCTGTCTCAAAAAACCAGAGAGAGAGAGAGAGAGAGAGAGAGAGAGAGAGAGAGAGAGAGAGAGAGAGAGAGAGAGAGGAAAGAAAGATGACATTGGTTATTACCTGGTGACAGAACTGAGAACATAGTACATCATCCACTGCCTGCTCAAAAACTTCAAAACCCTTTATAGATACTCAACCATCCTAAATAATACCTTGTTCCACAATCTCCCTGTCCCTCAGAGTCCCGAGTCCAAAGGACTAGCAAAAAGGTATGTGCACTTTGCTGCCTATGATGACATCAGCAAAAACTAAATTAAATAAATAAAAACATAGAAACAAGGCCTATTTTTACCTCTGCAAATCACAGGCCAGATGGAGAGAAATCTATCAATGCCAGAACCGAGGCTGAGCCCTCCCATAAGATGTATTATTTCACACCTTACGTTAAGGCATCACATTGCAAAGCACTTTGCAAATGTTCATCAATTTGCAGACATTCTTGGAAGGGGAAGAGATAAGTTTTAATGCTGGAGGACACAGAGCTGGGCAGGCACAGCCCAAACCACACAAGTCCTTACACACACAGTCCTCCTGCCAAACATCAGAAACGGAAGTGAATGAGGAAGTGACCGCAGACCCAGTTCTGAATGACAGGTGACAAGCAGCCTTTTTAAAAATGATCATGTCAGATATTCAGAATGAGAGCGAGGCCCTGAGGCAGTTCACTCCCCATCTCCCTACAAGGTTGGAGGGCCGGGCTCTTCCTAGGGCAGAGTCCAGCTTTGTCTGCAATAAGGACTTAGAGGTACCAACCTGAATCTAGGCTGTTTATTTAATTAATTTATTTATTTACATGATGGTGTCTTATCTAATCCTGGGTAACCTGGTACTTGCTATGTAAGTCAAGGCTGGCCTAGAACTAAAAGCAATCCTTCTGCCTCAGCCTCTCATTGTGCTGGGATTACAGGCATGAGCCACCACACCTGGCCCTAACCCCATCTAATCTTGAATGGTTCACCAAGCCCTCCACCCTCACCTCCTTTTCTGGTTCAGCCTGAGAAGAGGAGGGAAAATTATTCCCCTTTTGACAATGGTTTGTCCACCTCTGGCACTTGGAAAGACTAGTCCTTTCACCCTGGTGGCTCGGTGGCCTTTGGGAAGATCTCTCCTAGCATGCTGGAACCCAGCAGGAAAGAGCAAACACAGTAAGGTAGCCTGTGTGCCTTCAAGTTAAGAAGGCTGGTCCCAGAATCGGAGATATGAGTTTAAATCCTGACTTCATCATTCACCAGCTTATCCACTTACCTGGATATTGACTTTGCAAGTACAGGGGAAGACTACAGACTCTGCCCAGACAAGTCTGGGTTCAAATCCCGGGTCTACTGCACACTCTACAGTCTCTCTCTGTCTTGGGCACCACGGCAGTCCTCACCTTACAGTGTTGTTGAGCATGTGGGAGGAAATAACTTCCAATTTTGTGCACCAAGCCCAGCACAGGGCATATCCTCAACAATGGGAGCCACCAGTCATGGTGCCACTTTCCAAACACTATGCCAGCCAGTTCATCTCTCATAGTGTCCGTCTTCTCATCTGTATAATAGAGACAATAACTTCTGACTTATGGTGAGCCCTAACTGAGTACATGAGTGTTCAAGTCCTCAGTGCCCAGGCTGTGCACCTTAGGAAGTGAATGTCAAGTCCTAGGCCCAATGGAAAGAGGAAGGACCTCAAAGGCAGGCAGGTGGCTCAGGTTTTGGTTGCCTCCTTCTCTCGGCTGGCCCAGGGACACATGCTTGATCTCTGTATGATTCAGATTCCTTGTGCACAAAACCAAAACCAGAGTGGGGTACCAGGAGAGTTAAGGACCCCCGAACCATTCTCAGCACGCAGTAGGTATTCCATAAATGATTCAACCCCATTTCCCTCCTCCTTCCTCACTCCACATGCCCCCTGGGAAGGCCAGACTCCATTTCAATACACAGCTCTAAGTCCTAACCACTGCTTAAGTCTGAGACTTGAGTTCTCAGAGAGAGCAAAATGACTTTTTAAGTCACTTCCAAAGCAGGCCGGGCTCAGAGTCTCAAACCACGGGGACCATTTTAAATCCCAGGCCTTTTCTTCTGGGAAGTTAGGCAAGAACCTTCCCAAATGTTTGCTGTGGGGCCCTCTGCCAGGGAGTGACTCACTCCTCCGCTCCCCACAGGCATATTTTATTTGGGGGTGGGGGATCCAGGGAGAGTCTGGCCCTGATGGGGGAGGGGAACAGTTCCAACACATCCAGAAGGTGGGGATTTTTTTTTTTTCCAGTTTTCAGGACAAAGAGGAAAAAAGAACACGGGTCTTTTTTTGGTTTCCTTCCAGGTTTTGTCCGCTGAAAGACGATGTCCAAAGTTCACTGCTGTCGGAGTCAGGCACCCATTCAATGAAATTCTTCTCCCGTTAGCAACAGGGATTTTTTATGTGCCCCTTTACACACACCAGACTCCTGTAAGGACATTTTCCCTTCAGAGAGTCAAGCTGCATTTTGCCAGTGGAGAGAAGTTCAGACAAAAAAACTTTCTAAAGTTTGCTTTAAAGCAGTTACAACTTTCAACTGAGATTTTCAACACACACAAACTGTCAGTCAAAACCGCAAGGACAGCCCTTAGAGGATGTGTCCCAAGCATGCTGTCACCCATTTGTTACGGTCTCTGGGGCTCAGATAAATCAGGGGAATATGATTAACTTAGAGGATCAGGCAGAGAGGGCAATTATCTGGGGCCCTGGGTCTCCCTAGGGCCTAACCCCTAGGTATGGGGGCAGAGTCCAAATCTGGCCTAGCTAGAAACAGTCACGAACAAAGCCGGGGAACTCAGACATATTTTGAAAACCTCAATTCAAGTTCAGCGCAGCCCGCTCCCCAGCCTGCGTGGCCAAGCAGAGTGTTGCCAAGGCTGGGCTGAGCGGTTTCCACCGGACTCAGACCCTGGGGATCTGTGGGTCTGTCCCTAAGCCCCAGGCTCACAGAATCCGGCCCAGGGTCAGCCGTCACATCACACACACTGGCATACAGTGTAGGGTGCTCATCCCGGATCTTAAACACGTGTGACCACACTTACTCGGGAACGTTCAGACACGTGGACACATGTACTCCCTGGCACCCACGGTAAACGCTCGATAAACGGATAAGCGGGAGCGTAGCCTGTCCACCCGCACTGGTCCACCCCAAACTGACCCCGGGCCCCCGATGTGCACACGCACGCACTCCCGCGCAGCGAGGCGGATGGAGCCCAGCCGAGGACGCCTCGGCCTCCAGCGGGCGTCCCCGCCGCCTCCCCGGGCACGCGCGCGCGCCCACCGCCTCGGGCACAGCCCCATGCCCTGGCCCGAGCCCCTTGCCGGCCCCAGGCCACTCACCGGCGCCGGTGTCTCTCTCGGCGGCGGACGGAGCGCGGGTCGCACGCGAGTTGGCGGCGCTGCGGCCGCAGCTAGTCTACCGGGTTCGGCCGCCGCTTCTGCGCGCGTCCGCGCGCCCGCCCCTCCCCGCAGCGGGGCCGCGCCGCCCCCTGCGCCCGTGCGCGCGGCCGCCACGCAGGCTAAGGGGGCCCCGGGGGCGCGCTCCCAGCCTGGGCCCTTAACCGTCCAGCCCAGGTGGGAAGACTGAGGCCCAGACTCCAAGTCCTGGTCACTGAACCCCTCCTCGAGGGCTCTAGACTCTAGAGATGCAGGTTCGCACGGTAGCCAACCCATGGATTCTTCCCTGTGCCCATGGGGTCCCCATCAGCTGACATTGCCCTATCACAGCGCTAGCCCGACTGAAATTGACCCATCCAGAGAGTGGAGTAGGAGATGAAGTTCACTAGGAAGAGTGCTTTCCTAATCTCAGCATCTGTAACCCCAGCACTAGGAACGTTAGAAATTCAAGGTCATTCTTGGTTTTACAGCAAATTCCAGGCCAGCGTGGACTACATGAGACACTATCTAAAAAATAGTGCTCACTGTGTGCAATAGTACAAATAGTGCTCAATACAGGTACAGAAGTAGGCTCCAAGGGTGGATCCAAGTCCCTGCCCCCAAAGCACCAGTGTCTCCGGCTGATCCTGCCTCCCTGGGACTCCAGGCCAGCCAGGTCAATGTGCAAAAGGTTCCGGAAGGAGTCAGTGATTCCACTGGGGACCATTCGAATAGCCCGGTGGGAACCTGAGTTTTATCCTCCAGACCCACATGGTGGAAGAAAAGAACTGACTCCAGCAAACTGTCTCTGACCTCCACACATCTTTCACATACATGCACATTGTATGGCCTGTGTTTAAAAAACAAAAAGTCTTAATCATGAATACTTAACAACCACACTAGGATGTCCAAGCTTCTCTGGGGAGCAAATAAGGGGACTTCCACATCCCCTCAAGAGGGGATGCTCCTGGCTGGGACAGGAGTTACTGCTTCTAACTAGACTGTCTGTGTATCCAGATCACCCGCCAGCTGTCCACTAGTTGGCTGCACTGGCTGGGCACAGGGTGGCAAGATGCTGAGTGTACTTCAGCAACCTACTCTTCCACAGCCATCAGGCCACAACCTGTGGGGAGGAAAGGTCTCACTGCTGGCCCCTCTGCCTGCCTTGTGGAGTCCAGCCCCTGTGAGGGAAGTGTCATGCCACTCTTGTGCCCATTTCTTTTTTTTTTGGGGGGGGGGGATTTGAGACAGGGTTTCTCTGTGTAGCTTTGCGCCTTTCCTGGTACTCGCTCTGTAGTCCAGGCTGGCCTAGAACTCACAGAGATCCACCTGGCTCTGCCTCCCGAGTGCTGGGATTAAAGGTGTGAGCCACCACCGTCCGTGTCCATTTCTTATATGGCATTGATGAGGCTTGTTCCCAAAGTCCCCCAGGTGGTGAGTGTTGAACTGGAAGCAGATGACAGATGTCTGGCTTCAGCACCTTATTGCTAGGCAACCTGGCTCTAAGATGCTGGTGTAAGAAAGGTGTGGTCACCAGCCCAGAGCATCGAGGCTGGTCACTGTCCCTGGAGCAGAGAACTGACTCTAGCAAGTTGTCACTGACTTCCACATATACATTGTGAATTGTGGCATGTTGTAGATAGGAAACTGAGGCTCAGAGAGGTCAAGCAAAAGGTCCTAGGTCACACAGCCAGTGATGATCCTTAGAGGTCTGGCTATAAGCAAGCTGTCCATGACTGAGTGTTAAGAGAATCTGAGGCCCAGTCCACAGACCTCCACACGCTCCCAGTGACGTGAACGGGGTTGTGGGGGGGGCGGCGCAGCTTACATAAGGCTTCTGTTGTCTTAAGGGGCAGGCCGGCAACCTTCTTCTATTTCCTTCTCATTGGCTGTGGACCGGCCAGCTGAGTTGCAGAAGCTACTGACATGCTCCGAGCCCTTCACCACCCCTGCAGCACCCGTCCCTCAGCAGGGTAGGGGAAGAGGGAAAGGTACACGGGACCTCAGCCCCAGCACTTCTGTTTTCACTCACAGGAGTTTTTAGTGAGTCCCAAAATGAGTCACTGAGACTTGCAAATGCCTCCCAGATTTAGAATGGCTGCCTCCCGGGACTCTAGCGCCCCATGTGCCTCCCACTGCCAGCCATAACTGGGAATGTGGTCTCAGGGCAGGCTCTGCGTCTGCCCGGGAGACTTTCAGGATGAGGCTGTGTTGTTTCATTCTTGCTCTGCAATAGAGGACGAGAAACCATCTTGACTCTCTCTATACCTTCCTTGGGGAAGCAGCCAGGATCTTCTGCTGCTGGCCCTGCCATTGGCTCACTGTGACCTCTGTGAGAGGGCTTTATCCCCTTACTTCACGGGCTGCAGATGAAGAGCAGCAGCTCACAGAAGGAAAGAGGTGTGAGTCTGGGTGGGATTTGCTCCTGAATGAGGCATTGCTGGGATATGTAGGCAAGGGGGCAGTTTGGGGAGAGGGAGTCATGGGAACCAGAACCAGACTGTACCTCGACACACTCTAGGAGTAAAGTGTCTCTTGGTGGTAGGATTTTAGTAATTTACTTATGTGTTTTTGTGATGGCGGGGGCAGGTGGAGGGGGAGCTCATGTTCCTCAGGCTGGCCTTGAACTCTTGGGCCTGATAGCTTTCTGCCTTAGCTTCCCAGGAAGCTGGGCCTTGCCAACTCCAGTGGTGGCTAGAGTGCCAGGTCTGCTCTCTCCACAGCAGCCTCTCACCCCAAAAGTGCTTCCACTTGGAAGATCACTGGCATGGTCTTCCTGAAGGGCGGGTGGAGGAAAAGGTGTGCTATAACCTAGCCCCTCCACCTGGAGATACCTGCCTGTTTGGAAATGCCCTTGAGGGACTCTCACTGTCTCACTGTGTCCTGGGGCTCTCCAATCAGGCCAGACTGGCTGGTCAAAGAGCCCCGGAAATCCTCCAGCCTCTGCCTCCCCATTGCTGGGATTAAAACACCACTGCCACACCCACATCCAGTTTTCAGGTCACAGTTTCAAATCCTGATTTGAACACCCAGAACGGAGCCTTTCAGAGACACCCGAGGCTGGTCTTCAGCTTCGCCCTGAGGACCCTCTGTAGAGCCTGTGAACAGCACAGGAGTTTCAGAGGCACTGGCCTCACTGTTCCTCCACTGGAATGGGCAGCTTGAAGCTTCTAGATGCCCACAAACGTGGCAAGAGGCCTGGGGGTGTCATTTCGGCCCCTGGAGTCAGTGTATCTAGGTGTAAAGGTCAGAGGTCAGTTTTGAATATTGTCTTAGGAGCTAGTCGCCTTGATTTTTTAAATTTAATTTTATGTGCATGAATGTTTTGCCTGCATGTATGTATGCATGCCACATGTATGCCTGGTGCCTGTGGAGGTCAGAAGGGGGCAACAGATCCTCTGGAACTGGCATTACAGATGGTTGTGAACTCTGTGGGTACTGGAACGCTAACCTGGGGCCTCTGCAAGAGCAGCAAGTGCTCTAGACTGCTGAGCCATCTCTCCGGCTGGCGTCTCCCACTGGCCCACGCGCGGCTTGCCGATTAGGCCAGGCTGGCTGGTCAGTGATACCCAAAGACCTCCCGTCTTGGCCACACAGCACTGGGATCACACGCCCTGACACGTCTCTGTGCTGGGCCCAAACTCAGGCCCTCAAGTGTGCTTGGTGGGCACGTCACCAACTGAGTCACTTCCGGAGCCCTTAGTGGGCCTTTAAAGCTCAGGATGTTTGTTGTTGGAACACAGGTCTTCTTCTGACGTTGGCCTGAGAAAAATAATGGCTGGAGACTTGGTCACCTTCCTCTTCTGGCAGAAGGGGGGCAAAGGACTCATCTTGGCCCCCCGAATCTCCTTGGAAGTCTCAGAATTCATTGTGCCCAGGAACCTCCACACCCAGGGCAGACATGGTGCTGCCTGCTGTCCAGACAATTACTCATGGCATCACCTTCCACACTTGATAGTGAGTGGAATAGCAGCTGGCCCAGCAAAAACAGAAATGAGCAATGGGCCTCCTCAGGCCCGGTTTTCTCCTTCTTCAAATGAGTCTTCCTATGTGGGCATCCGGTCCTAGGAGGGAAAGTTCACAGATGAGCCAGTGTTCTAATTCACACCTTTTCTAAATGTGAGTGTGAGATGATTGGGGGTGTGGGAGGATGTGTAGGGGTGCCTGTACTGGGAGGTGGGGGGCAGAGGACACCCTCATGTCACCTAGTCTGGAGGTGTGGGAGGGTATGTGTGGGTGTCTGTACCTGTGTGTATGGAGGCCAGAGGACAACCTTATGTCATCCTCAGAAATGCTGTCACCCCCTTTGAGACAAAAATCTCTCACTGGCCTGGAGTCACCAAATCTGGTCCTCCTGCTTCAATACAAGCATTTTACTGCCCGCTGTCTCGCCAGGCCTAACATACATTTATAAGGGGCATGTGGTAGGTCTAGACTGTTTACTTCGTCTCTCTGTATTGCCACATATGAGAGGATAGGAGACAAACATGATATGAACCCGGTCGACCAGTCCTACCCTGATTATTTCTTTCTGGGTGTTCAATGTCCTTTTGGCCTTGGGAGCAGGTAAAGGAGCCAGGTAACCCTCCCACATTTCCTAGGGGAGTCTCTGCGCTGGCCCTAAGGGTTTCCTCCATGGCCAAGGCCTAGACTAGGCTGGCTGCTCTCAGACTAGATGACAGCAAGGGCTCCTTGGATTTAAGGCCAGTGACACACCCACCATTGATCCTTCAGTCCCAAACATGAAATGCATGGCCTGGTGGGGATTAGGTGTGGCTTTCTCAGCCCTGGTTTGCTTCGGGGAAGAATGCAATTTTCCTAGCCACCAGCACATACCAAAAGCCATTTTAGAGGTGACATGGGGAGGAAGATGGCTGGAACTGCAAATCTTTGTTTGTTTGAGACAAGGTCTCACTGTGTAACCCTGACTAGTCTTGAATTCAATCTTCGTGCCTCTGTCTCCTGAGTGTTGTGATTACAGATGTGAATCACCAAGCCCAACTAAGACCTGGAGTTTTTTGTTGTTTGGATTTTTTTTTAGATTTATTTTATTTTTTTTTATGGATATGACTATTTTGCCTACAT